CAGGGTGACGAGGACGGGCAGCAGGATGAAGGGGCAGAGGATGCTGTTGGGAGGGTCGTGCAGCGCTCGGCCGGACGGGGAGCAGTTCCTGAAGTACTGTTTGTGCACAGCCACAAAGAACTCGTCCACCAGCCTGTTGGGCAGTAGCAGTCGAGTCTCTCGGCGATGAGCACCGTGCAGTTCGTCAGCTCTCCATAGGTGCTGCAACACAGACAGGCACAGGTGACATCAGGGACCAGCACAACATCTTACCCCCAAACAACTGTACTCACTATTATAATACATATATAGATATAAAATAGTACAAAAGATATACTATACACTATATAACATAATACATAACATAACCCAGGGCCAATATGACACATCCCTCCCATACAATGTATGATATAATTTCTGTCACAGAGCTGTGTATGTGTTATTTGAGATTCTATTGGAGATTGTCACTTGAGTTTTTAAATTTTGTAGCTATTTTTCTAAAGTTTATTGCTAAAAATATATGGGCTTTTGAGTTTATAGCTAAATGGGTATAAAGGTATATGGAGGTTTTGGGGAATTTTTTTAAATTCCCAGCAGGTTTTGCCATTTTGATGCCTCTTTTTGAGTTTATAGCTAGATAGATATAAAGATATATGGGGTTTTCTTTTACATTCCCATCAGGTTTTGGCACTTTGAAGTGCTCACCCATAGCCAAAAGCACAAGCAGTTTTCATTTACAGAAGGACATGAAAGTGGTGGTGATTTCATTTACAGAAGTAACTGAAAACAGAAATAACTACAAGTTTGAGATTTTTGGTTTGATTTTATGGCTGAACTGATGCTATTAGAAAATACAGTTTGGACCCACATAACCCTTTAATCAAAGCACTTCAGGAAACCCATCCTAAGCCAAGAAGCTGCTTGCTCAGCCTTTGGAGCACCATCCTCCAGCTTGTGTGGTTCAGCCAAAGTGGGATAGAAATTAGTACAGTGAATCTACTTAAAATTTTCCTTTAAATTGCCTAAAAAAAGAGAGGTTGCATAGGAACCAGTTGCCTGCTCACCTCTGCAGTGCCATGCAGGATCACCACCCATCCCACCTCTCTATGGCTGGGGAGCCCATTTTTCCTTCTTTTTACCAGCTTTTGGAAAACCAGGAGCAGCCCCAAACCAGAGGCAGTGTCCCCGTGCTGGGCCATCCTCTGGAAGGACAGATATTGCCATGCATTTCCAATCCTCCCTGCTTTTAAACTGGCTATGTATGAAAAACAATACGTAGATACAATTTTTTCCCCCATCCCAATTGGTCATGTCTAATCCTAGAGAAACAAACCAAACCAAACTCCTGCTCACCAATTAAAAACCCGCCTGGGGGAAGAAACACTTTTTTAAGCAGCTTCCCAGCAACTCTCCACAGCCACAGTGCAGCTCCTCAGTTGGGTTTTCGGGCAGGCTGTGCCCATGGGCACACGGCAGCGCCGCTGGGAGCCCCTGCGAGGCCGGTGATTTAATACACAGGGTGCCTGCTAAAAGCAGCTTCTGCTCAGCATCCCAAAGCACAAAATTATCATTTCCCGTTCGTCAGCACCCTCAAGAGATCTCAGGAGCTGAAGCATCTTCAGGAACCAGAGGGAAAGTGTTAACAGAGAGGTGAATAAAAGCTATTTTTAAAGCTGAAGGGCCGTAGAGTGGCTGGTTTAGCTCTTTCCTGCCTCCAACCACGCTTCCGTGGAGATAAACAGGGCGTGAAGACACGCAAGTAACCACAGTCAAATGTTGCCACAAATGAAAGGATAAATTCTAACTGCCCTTTGCAGAGAGGCAGGACAGGCCTGAGCAGAGGAGCTGAGCGGGTGCAGCCCCATGAGCCGCACAGCAGGGGTGAGGAGGTGACCGTGGGCCTCCAACACCTCTGTCCAGGTGTGGAAGGAGATCCCTCCATCCTGATGGGGTGCATTGTCCCTTTTGTTTTCCTTGTCTTTATTTAAGCCACCCTGCTCTGGATGGGATGGCACCCTCAGCAGGAGCAAGGTGGTGTCCTGGGCTCGGCCAGCTGTCAGCCCACACACCCACAGAGCCCAGCAGGGAGCAAGCAGCGGGACAGAAACCATCAGCAGCAGCAGCTCACCTCAGTGAGTGCAGAGGTGACACTGAGGGCTGCTGAGCTCTTGGCCAAGGGAAGGCAAGTCTGGATGCTCTTCAAGAGCTGATTTCTGCCCTTTGATTACACAAAGCATACTGGACCATCGCAGTTATATGAATGGCCACCTGAAAGCAAAGCTGAACTCTCAACTCTGGCCAAGTGCTTTAATGTCTTTCACTTTCTCTCACAGCTCCTTGGTTAACCACCAGGTGAGTCCATCCCTGAACTGCCATGGCTCACAGAACGTTCCTGTGAGACTCCATCCACCTCCACATGCAGAGCACACACACACGAGGCATTAAGGACCTTCTCCTTACACACATACCACCAGCCACTGTAGAGGGATTGCAAAGAGATCCATTTGCCGGGACCACATTAACCAGACTGACTGGAGCCACTATTTGCAGAAGTTATCAGTGATGGATGGAGAAGAGGGAGCCAAGTTGCCTTTGGTGATGAGGAATACTGAGACTCACCAATCCCAAAGTTAAACAGTCTGAGGATGTGAAGAAAGTGACTTTCCTGCGTGAAAGTGGCACCAGTGAGGAAGTGGCAAAGTTCCTGTAAAGCAACCAGCAGGTGATAGTACTGATAACTTCTCTAAAGCTGCTGAGCTGGCACAGCTGGCCTAGAAACATCTGACCAACAGTCCATGCCATCATACTCTAAACACTTGGTCCCACATTGTAATGACAGGGATTCCTAACACACCCCTTCTCGGAGTGTGTGTGGAGATTCCTCCCTCAAGTGGGGATTCTCCTTAAGGTCACTCCTCAAGGCTGAGCAAGAGAGATTTGCCCATGGCCATTGCTATGGGTGAGTAACACTGAGCTCTACTTAATTACTCTGCTGGCTTTAATAGGCTTGCCTCAATATTACTTCAATAAATAGTGCACCATACTAGGAGTTACAACTTTCTGTACTGTCTAGTAAATGATTCTGAATAAGGTCTTTTAGTCTAATCATTATCATCAATAAAATAAATAATGTATTTTATGCATACAATATATTTGGTTTGTCATTCTTAATCCTGTGGGACAAAGTTGCACATTCAATTGCACCTATAGAATCCTTTAAATATAAGCTGCTGCCTAAGTCTGGGGCTAAAATTGGATCCAGCCCCACCCAGACTTCTCTCCAAGGAGTTCAGGAGCAAGGAGGTCCTTTCTGCACCTCCTAGCTCAGAGGGAGAACTTTCCTAATAGACTTTATGCGAAGCTTCCACTCTGCCCACAGCAAATGTACACTCAAACTTTCAGCTTTCAGACAACCCCAGAGCTCCTCTGCAAGCCTCCATCTCCCCAACACCATCTCCTCCAGCTGAGAGAGGGCACAGACCTTCCAAGCAGCCTCCAGAGGTTACATCCTCACAAGCAGGAGAAAGGCATCACCACTGAGTCTCTTTAGAGGCTGCTCACTCACACCACTGAGTGAGGCCTGTACCATGGGAGGGTTACCCATGGGGCAGAATCCTGACTGGGCTTCTGAGAAGCTCCAGGACAGCTCTCTTCAGGTGGGATAAATAAGGAGATAAGATACAGAAGAGTTAGATAAGCCACAGACCTGTACTGTGGCATGTCCCCACAGCCTTTCCGAGCAGCCAGAGGCTCTAAGGATGCAACAGTAAAAGGATGGTTGGCCTCAGCTTCCCAACCTGCCTTCCCAACAGCAAGGACCATTCAGTTGCACAGGCAGAAAAACTCCTGGTCAGAGCACTCGTGCTAGCCCTGCTTTGCCCAACCCTGAGGAGAGCTCAGCAGCTTTGAGGAGATGCATCTCCCAGTGACACTCCTTTTTCCCAATCAGGCTTCAGCTTCTGCAAGATCTTTCCTGGTATGAAAAAATTGCCTGCCGCCCAGCAAGGGCTCCCCTGGGAATGGCAGCTCTTGGAGACTTGCCTGTACTTTGAGGTGGAGGATAGGAATGTCTCTTTGTGTGAGCACTGAGTGTGGAGGGTGTCCTCAGCTCACTGTGATGGTCCATGTCTCCCCAGAGACCATGCGGCAGAGGGAAAGGAGAAGTGCTCTATACCCACACCACCTCCTGCTTCTTCCACCCCTCCTCTCTCTTGGTTTTGCCTTAAATAGCAGCATCTAAGCTAAAATCCTTGAAAACACCCTAAAAGGCTAGCTTCGATCACTACAAAAAGTATTAAGAAGTTGTGATTATTGAGCTGCTGTAGGACAGCACTGGGAACAGGGCAGGTTTTCCCAAACGGTCCCACCACTGCAGGGCAGACAGGCAACCAGCTCTGAAAAGTACAGCTTTGCTTCTGAATACTTTTTCCCTCTTCAATGTGACTTGCAATTAAAACTGTTTTCCTCATTGCCATGGAAATGGTTTGGGTTTAAACCCATTGTGGTTTAAACTGTGCTGTGGACTGATGCCTGCAGGCAGGGTGGGCTGCTGGTGGGAAGCAGTTTAATGGGATCCGAATGCTTACACTGCTAAAACTCCTGAGGAATTCCTCTATTTTTTTACCACTGCAACCAAGACTGGAATTGGATCTGGCATTCATTCCTTTACTGCACCTGGATGCAGACAGTGTTGCACTACAGCTGAGGTTCACAGGACTGAGGGCTCTCTCTTTTGCCATGAGTGTCAGGATATTTCCTATCCTCCTTGAATTCCTTGCTTCAGAAGGGAAAAAGAAAACACAACTCCTTTTTGCTTTGCAAATTAAAAGAAAACATTGATTTCCTCCTCTGCAGCACGAGCTTGGAGACAGGTTAAAGGGGCATCCAGAAGGAACACGGCAAGCTGAAGATAATCAAGTAGATAATGAGATAATAAGAAAATGGATCAATCTGTTTTCTGCAAATAATGGCTAAACAACCTGAAGACACAGTGTGAGTGTGCTGACAGCTGTGAGAGCAGCCCCAGCCGGGGCTGCAGCAGGGCAGGGTCCAGGTGTGCCCGGGGCTGGCAGCACCAGCCCTGGCTGCAGCTGCCAGGCTGGGGCACTCGCGCTGGTGAGCTCCTTCCCCACGGGATGCCTGCAGTGAGAGCAACGCATTCCCCAGAGATTTTTAGGCATGCCATGGGGTGGATATATTTGGGATGAAGATGCCTGGCTTGGCTAGAGTGACACCCACAGCTGCAGCACCACTCACCGCACCGAGCATCCCCTGTCCTGCTCACTGCACCGACACTGCAAAAACCACGGTGCAAAGCCATTCCCTGGCCACAGCCCACTGGGGAGCCCAAATCAAGCAGGAAAAATATCTACAAGTCATCAGCTCCTGCTGACGCATTGATGGGTGGGCGGCAGGCAGCCCGACCCCTCCAGCACTCCCAGTTGTGCCAGCAGGGCTCCACATCTCCAAAACAGCTGCCCCCAGGGAGACCACAGCTAATCCCCCAGCTCAATCACCACGCTGATGAATCTGGACCTGGAATCAAAACAACCGAGTTGGTCTTTGGATAATTCATCACGCACAGCTGAGCTCCCAGTCAAAGCAGCTTCGCCACCACCACGGAGCGGAGGAGCCCATGACACGGCTCCAGTCTGGCTTTTAAATCCTAGGGCAGCTGCAAGCCCTGGAAAACAAAACACTGGAGTGCTCCGTCCAAACTGCTCTCAGGCCAGGGATCCATGGGACAATGACACAAAGCAGCTGGAGAGACCAACTCCATGGGTAGGTGTGCTCACCCATCCCAGGCAGCTGATCCAGCACGTGCATCTGAGGCCACCCCAGAACACTCATCCCTTGGGGAGGAAGAGAGGCAAAGAAACCAGATGACCCAAGGGAAAACACCTCTCAGTGTGGAAAGTTATCTATTCCTTCTCCTTTCCCAGGAGACACTGTTCATGGCCAACTTGACACCACCAAAACCACCTGGCATCCCATTCTGAAGCACATAAGAGCTCACACGAGTTCCCCTGGTCCATGATAGACCTGCATATCAAAACCCATCAACTTTCCCTAGATAATCAGGGCAAAGAAAGCCTGCAGAGCTCAATGGTGTTGGAAAAATCTTCTCAGAGAGTTGGTGCTTGTCCACAAGGTCCAAGCCCAACCTCACCAAACACTCCCAGTCCAGAGACATCCCTCCGTGACATGGGAATGCTGCAGTACCAGCGATGCAAGAGCTCAGATAATGTCTCTGAGGGTAAGATGTGAGCATCATCTGCAGCCTATAAATAGGACCAAAGAACCATGACTACAAACTCTGCCGAGACAATTCACTTATCCAGATATTCCCACTGTGTCATCCTCAACTGAGCAGGAAATGATGGGGCCTTATGGGCATATCCCCAGTAAATGCCACATACAAGAAATCACAGCTCCAAACCTGATGCTGCTGATGGTCCTGGCAGAGGCAAAACCTCCCAATATTTCTCCTTGTTTCAAGCATCAAAATTCCTTGGTTTGGGGGAAGGTATGGAGAGAACAGGCTCTAGTCAGGTTGTTTATTTCCATTTCTTCATCTCACACCTGGTGGAAGTCAAATCCTTCCTCCAAAGCCAGAGGGGTGACCAGCCAGTTATGCCACCCCCTGCCCACTCCTGCTGGGATATCTCCCCATTTGGTGCAAAAATGGATGGTGATTCTTCCCACACACACCCAGGGAGCAAGGGTGATGAGCCAGATGGTCACTCAAAAGCCCTATCCTTGCAGCTTATTTGCTGCAGTAGCTGAGCTATTTCTACCTGATTTTCCCATTGTCCTGAGGGCATAAGAGGGTCAGAGGAATGTCAGCTCTTAAATAACCCTCAGCCATGTGTTCCCATGGAGCAAATGGACTCGGGCAATCAAATTAAACACTGCAAACTTATCAACATTTTCTCTAAGTGCCTCAAGGATATTGAGTTTAGTAGAGGCTATTTAGGAGAAAAACAGGATGTTGGAGATAAAAAACAAGCTCTTGAAAACACCTCTGCTTCCTGGGCAGTGGCTCTGCTAAAGGGCTGAAGGAGATGGATTGCAGCTCATCAGGTCTTCAGACAGCATTGAACCAGGACCAAATATAATGTGCTGCCCCTGGGGGACACTCAGCCCACTGAGGGGGGGACAGCCTGGCTTGGTGCCAGGGTCTGAGAGACTCAGGGAGGTGGTAATCTCCTTCTCCTGCCACTCACCACATCTGGAGCACACCTGGGTCCCACAGAGACGGCAAAGGCTGGAGCAATGGCAACAGCCCTGGGCATTTTTGAGGCCCAGATGAGGCTTCTCCGAACCAGAAACCTCCCACTCTCTTTCCTTCCCCTCCATTCCACCACTGAGCAATGGGTAGGAAAATGCAATATGTATACAGAGAATCACAGAATCATTAAGGTTGGAAAAGACCTCTAAGATCACCAAGTCCAACCTTTGACTGAAGAATACATACACACACATGTATACAGCTTTCAATCTGGCACAGAAGAAAGGAGCACAAAGCAGGAAACCTAACAAAATTTGCAAAACTTCTAATTTTTTGTGCCAATCAGCTCACAGCACACAGCACCATCTGCTCGCCGTTTCCAGCTGACCTCCATCCCCACTGGTGTCACGAGAGCTCACTTTCGCCCACCGCTTCATTTTCCCAGGGACAGGCCACGGCACAGCAATGCTGCATGAAGTGGAAAGTCAGCTGAAGGTAGAAAAAGGGTGGTTATTCTCTCTTTTCAAGCCCTCATGCTGACACACGGCCACCCCTGACTGGTCTTTGCAACTTCAATCAAAACCATCTTACCAGGAGAATGACTTCTTACACCATGGTGATACCAAGAAAATTCAGCTCTGCTGATTATAAATAGGGAAGAGTTTATCCAAACAAAGTGCTGTTTAGGTGGTTGGCAATAAAAATAAAACCACAAGAAATTCCCCAAAAACCCCCACAGAGCAGCATATCCCTGGTGGGGCTGTGCTTATCACCCTCATCATCTCCCAGAGATGCTGCTTAGTGTTCCACCAGGGAAGCAGACTGCATCTCTGCTTCTCCCAAGCCATAAATCACTGCTGACTCCCTGACACTGATTACAAACAGGAGGCTTAGCAGAGGACTGTCATGCCATACCATTCCAACCTCTCCCTCTAGTTGCTTAGAAAAATCAACATACAACTTCTGGAAGCAGGGTTGAGCCAGCAGGTCTGGTGGGACAGCCTGGGATTTTCTCACAGAAAGGGTCTGAGGGGCCCCTCAGTGGGTTATGGGCTTTTCAAGCTGAGTTAGGGCATTTTGGACTGACTGGAGAACCAGAGTGCTGAGAAAAAAACCAAAAATCTCATGGAAAATATGTCCAGCAGGCTGTGAGTCAACAGAAGCCATGAAGGGTATCCCAGTCTGCCACTTTAGTAACCCACTGATGCCCAGATGTAGCAGACAGCTGTGGACTTCTCC